TACATCTGGGCCACTGAGGGTGACATCACATGTTAGTAGGACCGTGATGCCCACCTGAGCCTCAAGTTCAAGTTTTTTATTAAGGATTTCAAAAGGGGAGGGGATATAAGAACAGGCAGTAGGTACAAAGATCACATGCTTCAAAGGGCAAAAAGCAGAACTACTAATAAGGGTCTAACAAGGATCACATGCTTCTGAGGGAACAAGACAAAGGGCAAAAGCAGAACTACTGATAAGGGTCCAACAAAGATCACAAGGCAAAGGGCAAAAGCAGAACTACTGATAAGGGTCCAACAAAGATCACAAGGTAAAGGGCAAAAGCAGAACTACTGATAAGGGTCTATGTTCAGTGGTGCATGTATTGTCTTGATAAACATCTTAAACAACAGAAAATAAGGTTCAAGAGCAGAGAATCGGTCTGATCACAAATTTACCAGGGCAGAGTTTTTCCCCACCCTAGTAAGTCTGAGGGCTCTGTGGGAGACCAGGGTGTATCTCAGTCCTTATCTTAACTGCACAAGACAGACATTCCCAGAGCGGCCATTTATAGACCTCCCCCTACAAATGCATTCCTTTCCAGGGTATTAATATTAATATTCCTTGCTAGGAAAAGAATTTAGTGATATCTTCCCTACTTGCACGTCTGTTTATAGGCTCTCTGCAAGAAGAAAAATATGGCTCTTTTTGCCCATCCCCACAGGCAGTAAGACCTTATGGTTGTCTTTCCTTGTTCCCTAAAAATCACTGTTATTCTGTTCTTTTTCAAGGTGCACTGACTTCATATTGTTCAAACACACATGTTTTACAATCAATTTGTACAGTTAACACAATTATCACAGTGGCCCTGAGGTGATGTACATCCTCAGCTTATGAAGAGAACAGGATTAACAGATTAACGTAAGACAGGCATAAGAAATTATAAAAGTATTATTTGGGAACTGATAAATGTCCATATTAAAATGAAATCTTCACAACTTATGTTCCTCTGCTGCAGCTCCAGCCGGTCCCTCCATTCCGGGTTCCTGACTTCCTGCAACATCTAGTAAATGCACTTCTGATCGGAGCATTCTAAAGTTTTCAAACACAAGCCGTTTGTTCACCAGTTCACTGTTTTGGTAGCTGGTGAGAGTGTGCACATATTTTTAAGACTCTAAGTTACTCCTTATGACTTACTTCTTTATTGAAAGCAAGATTTTATACAACAATCCTATGGCTACTTCTCCACATTTCTTTCAAATATGTTGTATTTCTATTAAAATATTTTTTACTCTTTTTATTTTTTTACTTAGCTTTAAGTCTAGGAACACAAAATCAGCTACCTTTTGTTAATTGGTTAAATACCTATATCCATAGTTCCATTTTGCCAAAGTAGATATACTCATTTATACAGTAGCTATGTCTGTCTGTCTGCCTATCTCTTTGTGTATCTATTGAGATTAAAAATTGGTAACTATATTAAGAGTAATAAGAAAATGCGTGCAGTGTCTCATGGAGATCAGTTGGTAAATAAACATTTGGGGTTTATAGATAATCAAGAAGATAATGCTTATAAAATAAGTATTTCCTTATGCTTTCATGGTCTTGGATGCAGAGAATATTGATGGCTTTTAAAATGATTTTGGCCCTTTATTTATCCGATGATGTCTTCCTCCGTCAAAGTTTCTCTTCTATGCCCTTTTATTCTCATTTGTAATCTTTTATTACCAGTAATAAACAATTCACTAAGGTTTGGGTTTTCTTTTTTAAAAAAATCTTTTTATATCTCTTCTACAATGAAACCTTACATCAACCCAAAGTAATACTTTTAGAAGAGAAACAAATAAAAGATAATTCATGAATGATACCAGAAATATACTGTCATTTCATTTGTAGGTACGTGTTATAAAGAATGAGGTAGAAAAGCAAAAATAAATATTATACTAGGATGCAAGATCAAGAGAGCCTTGGAGTCCATTTTTAAGTTTTAAAATAGTTTAGAGCAGGAATCTTTTCCTGAGGTTCAGGAATGACTTTGTGACGGGAAAGGAAGCAAAATGTTGAGTTTCTAAACATTCTAAGATTCATTGCAAAATTTTGGCTATATTTGATTATGTAACTCTTTTTTGGTAAGGAAGAGAAGTTTCATAGCTTTAATCATATATTGGTAGGAATCTGCCACCACAAAACAGAGAAAGACCCTGGATGGGGAGTTCCTAGAGTTATAATAAATAGATATCTGCTCTTTTGAGTCACGTAAGGAAATTAAACTTAATGAAGATATTTCTTTTTCTTTATTTCCTTTGCCCTAATTCCTATTATGATGAATTTAATGTATTTTGAGTCATTTGCTAAACCTTACATAAATGAACAATGTAGAAAATATGAACAACGTAGAAAATATTTTGGACTCACAATTCAGCAGAAGGGTGCCATAGTGATAAGTGTACAGTGGGGTATTTCTGAAGGACAAGTGAAAAGACAGAAAACAGAATGGAGTAGAAGAACTCTTTATCCTTGAGCCCACGCTGGGCTTCACCAGCTGGCTTATCATTCTAGGTGCCAATAGATGCGGCATAAAGAAGGTCAGCTGCCAAACATCATGGAAAAACCAGAGAGTCCTTGCAGGATGTTTAAATTCTTGACGTAAGTTGACAAAGGATGAGGACGTACAAGAAGAGGGTGAGTCAGTGACACATACGAGTTATACTCTCAGATGATCCAATGCCTAGTCCACATACCTTCTCTCAACAGCTGTTTTTATCGGCTACTTCAGAGAAATTCATAATGCATCTCATGAGTTCTGCCAAATATATGAAATTCTGGCAGAGGCAGTAAGGGGAAACATGCTCCCCAGTTGGCATTTGCCTTAGGGATAATGTTTGATGGTCATAATGTATTTTTTTGTCACATTTTTGCCCTTTCCATAATAAGACTTACAGACTTATATCTAAATGCTGGAATCCATTTTAACCTTCTTAAAAAATATATGGACCATCAAGTGTTTTTCAGATCCTTCCTATGAAACTTATTTTTAAATTGTTTAATTTCTTTTCAGAAAATGTTTTCAAATGAACATCTTTTGCAAATGTATTTCTCAACTTAAGCTCATATCCCTCTTTAGCACTCACCTTTTGAGAGCCTTTGATAAGTTTATAATTAAAATCCTATCAATACAACTCATGTAAAGTAATAACATCCTAGACCAGGTATAAGTGTTGCAGGCTTTCTCAATATTTGGCATATATAGAGTATCATACACAGTTGGATTCCTTTGCAAAGGAAGTATTTTATATTTAGAGATTTCATATGGGGGCAGAGCTAATGTGTTACTTGAGTCCATTATATTTGTATTTTTTTTTCAATTAATAAATTCTAAATTTCCCAACTTTGTGTAGAAAAACAAATCAATTTTATTAAAAATAAAATAAAAACAAATTACATTTTAATAAAGAGGATTCCCCTAAATTCTAGGCCCCAAGTCAAATATTTCAAAAGAAGTCTCTTAGTATGGTTTTTAGGTGTAAAACAAACACAGCCTTTGCAGAAAGGCTTACTTAGAGCAATGAAGAATCTGCTTACGGTTTTTAAAGTAATTTTACTAAAACTTACAGAAATGAACAATTGGACTTGGTCTCTACTACTTCAAATGAGATAACTAAAGTAAATAACAAGATTAAACACTGGACACAGGATTTGTAGAATTCTGGATGTAGATATGGCTTCGGCAATATAGGAGGAATAAGTTCTAGTGTTTTACAGCATAATAGGATGACCATGATGAACAATAATTTATTGTATATTTTAAAATAGCTAGAGGAAAGGATTTTGAATATTCTAAACACAAAGAAATGATAAATGTTTAAGGTAATGGATATGCTAATTATCCTGATTTGATCATTACACATTGTATACATGAATCAAAATATCACACTGCTTGCCTGGGCAACATAGAGACACCATGTCTCTACAACAAAAATTAAAAAATTAAGCTGGCATGGTGATATGCATCTGTAGTCCCAGCTACTCAAGAGGCTGAGGTGGGTGGATTCTTGAGCCTAGGGGTTTGAGGCTGCAGTGAGCTATGATCACACCATCACACTCCACCCTGGCTAGCAGAGTGAGACCTTGTCTCAAAAAACAAACAAAAAACACCACATTGTACTCCATAAATATGTACAATTATTGTGTGTCAATTAAAGATAAAAACAGCATATGGTGAAGTGCACATCTGATTAAAAGATTGCATGATGTTTCTATATGATTCTAAGCACAAATGACTTCTTTAGCTTCTTTTTTTTTTTTTTTTTTTTTTTTGAGGCGGAGTCTCGCTCTGTTGCCCAGGCTGGAGTGCAGTGGTGTGATCTCGGCTCACTGCAAGCTCCGCCTCCTGGGTTCAGGCCATTCTCCTGCCTCAGCCTCCCGAGTAGCTGGGACTACTGGGGCCCGCCAACACGCTCGGCTAATTTTTTGTATTTTGTTTAGTAGAGACAGGGTTTCACCGTGTTAGCCAGGATGGTCTCAATCTGCTGACCTTGTGATCTGCCCACCTCGGCCTCCCAAAGTGCTGGGATTACAGGCGTGAGCTACTGTGCCCGGCCAACTTCTTTAGCATTTTAATAAACCACTCACTTGTGACTTTTCTTCCAATTTTAAAGTAAAGATTCTCCATGCAAACTAACTAGTTGTAATAATGGCAGAGAAGCATTGTCCTTGCTAACGTGGGGAGAAGAAGTGAAAGCAATATCCAGAAGCATCATCCTCCTGTATAAAAGATAATCTTTTTGATCACAGACAACACAAATGGTAGCAATGTTGGGCCAGCATAACTATATTAAATCCAGTTGTCATCTCAGCTGTGTTTTTGTCTTCAGGAGTAAGCAAATGAATTTCTCAATATTTTATCTTCAGCTGCTCTTAGGTTGTTACATTTGAGGCAAAATACTCTTGCAAGTAAAGTAAGATTTTTGAATGTAAATGGAGTAGAAACTTAATGGTTTTAGAAACTGAATGCACAATAGAAAGAAAGAGATAACATTATTAGTTCAAATAAACTGAAAAGAATAGACATACAAATCACTCAGTTGTAATTTTAAAGAATTCCTCAAACTAAACTTGAATTTAAGCATAAGCTTATGCTTACAGATTACTATTTGCTAGCTTACTAATTATTACTTGAATTAAGCAGTAAGAACTAAAATTTAAGTTTCTTAGTTTTACGGGTTGATTTGAAGGCATGCTATCTTGCTAATATTGAAATACATTTATTTCTTAAAAATTACTATTTTATTGGATTATGTCAGAAGCAGGGCTGTGTCCTTGAGGAAGGACAAGTTTCTTCTCCGACTCATCAAAATGAAGCTCTCACTGTTCTGCCCTTCAGAGGCTGGGTTGGGCGGTTGTTGTGCTGAATGGGGACAGGGTTATCACCTTCAACATTTGAGAGAAGACTGCGGAATTGTGCCAGCTGGAAGGATAAAACATTTTAAAAATAAAAAGTTTTAAAAGTTACATAAAGCGTCTTATTTACAGTATTACTAATGCACTGATATTTAGAAAACTGAGTTAGAAATTGCAGTGATATCACTAATAGGAAGAGAGAAAGCCCTAAATCCTTTACATTCATTCCTTTGAGCCAGGCATTTTGCTTTAATTATTGATGACTGGGTTAAAGTATCAACTTTTTAATTTCAGCTGGGGTATGTTGGGCGAGTGATGTATTAGCTTGGTACCTTAGTTTCCATTTGGTACTTACTTCACTGTGTTGTTGTGAAGATTAAATGGGTTAATACATGCAAAGCCCTTAGAATGATGCTTGACATACAGTATGTGCTCAACAAATGTCAGTTAGCAGCAGGCTACAATGCTTGTCCTGTAGGTTTGTTATGAGAATTGGCTAATGAAACATATGTAAGGCACATAATAAAAGTGGTTGAGCAACCAATGATACTTACTATAATCACAATTATATACAACAGTTAATGAGATATTTTGCTGAATATTTAAAAGTTTAAGCTCCACAAAAGGAACAAAAATATTTTGCCAACTCTCAAGGTATGCCAGCTGAGAGCGACAGTTCCCCAAAATCTTATTGAAATATCCACACAGTTTTTCTTTTATTTCTGAAATGCTTAAGAAGATATTTAACAGGTCGGACATTTCCTTATTAAGGAGGAAAGAGTAGTGGGAGTCATTTTTTTTTCCGCATAAAGGTAAAAAAAATTGTATTATAATGCAGTTTTGGATAGTTTAATAAACCAATGTCCCCACATTAATATTTTTAAGTTGGGAGGAAAAATGAACTTCTCACAAAGCTGATTGAAATAATAATCTCTCTCACTGATACTACCAATTAAAGTAATATTCCTGCTACATATTCCCAGTTCCCATTCATTCACAACTCTACCTGCTCTGAGCTGACACTGATGCTCTCCTTACAGATGATCCAGGTTACACTCTCATAAAGAGGAGGATGAGTCAGAGAGCCAGAGTAGGTCCAGAAATCCAGGGATGAAGGAAGGAGAGTAGAGGGGTCAAAATTTGTGAACGGGGCTCGTTTGCCCTGGAAGAAAATAATACATCATTACAGTATGATATAAAATACTTATGTGAATATATGTGACATATATATGCTATATTATCTTGTTATACATTATGTAGACATTTTAGCTAAGAGTCATTGATTTTTCTACTATTTAGTATTTCTTGACTGGTGTGTTTGTGGGTATAAACAGTAATATCAACAGAAGAAAAAAGATGAAAAATGTGTTACATGTAAGTTTTTGACTAAGACATCTTCTTCCTTCTTCATTTGGTTGCAGATAAGCAAAGATGCAAAAAACGTTTTTACAATCTGTATCTTTAAAAGATATTTAACTTCTAGTATAACGCTTTTATTTTTTCTCTAGGAATGATGCCAGATTCTATTTCAATGGCAAAGATCTTTATTGACATGCATATTGGTTGTTTTAGTTTTATTCTATTTACTCCTATCATCTTTTCTGATTATTACTTGTGTATAGGAAATGTACTGATATTTGTATGCTAATCTTTTATGCATTCTGTATTTTAGATGATTCTTCTGGAGTGTTCAGGTGGATGTTAATGATATCAACTGCACGTAATGATAGTTTTGCTTTTACTATTTCAATATCTGTTATAATATGTACTCTTTCATTATTTTGTTGCACTGATTAGGACCCTTATTATAATTTTCAATTGTGATGGTCACAGTGGCAGCTTGGTCTTGTGCCTGATTCAAATGAAAATGCTTCAAGCGTTTCACTATGAAGTAAAATGTTGATACAAGTTTCTAGGTAAAATTCTTTATCAAATTCAAGAAGTTTTCAGGCAGTTCTTTCATTTTGTTTCATTCTAAAGAAAGGGCATTAACTTTTATAAAATGATTTTTAAGCATTTAACAAGTTGATCATGAGGTTTTCTTCATCTTTAGTTAATATAATGAATTAATTTAAGATTTTCTAATATTGAGTCATTCTTGTATTTTTGGGATATACGCTACTAATTCAGAAACTACTCATTTAATACACTGTTGAATTTGATTTGTTATAATAAATTTTAGGATTTCCTTTAGCTATATTCCTAAGAAAGTTTATGCTATGTTTTTTTGTTTTGTCTGTTTTGTAGTTTTGATACCCGGTTTTAGTATCAGATTCCATTAAATTGATGGGAAGTTTTCTGTCTGTTCCTTCATCTGGGCAGTTTAGTTAACACTGGCATGATTGTTTCTTAAAAGTTGAGTAATCCTTTTCCATGAAATGGTCTGGGCCTAGTCTTCGTTTAATAGATACATTTTGACTATTGTTTATATTTACTTTTAGGTTCTCAGTCTATTTAGGTATTCTAACTCCTTGTGAGTCAATTCCCTTCACATTTTCTTGGAAAATTATCCATTTTATCTAAATTTTCAAATTTACTGGCATAATGTTATAAAAAATTTTGTCTCTTAAAATTTTCTTCTATATCTTTAGTCATAACTCATTTATTTCTAATAATGTTTTATATGTATGGCTTTTTTTCTCTTTATCCAGCTTCCCCATATTCTGACTTTTTTGTTGTTCTTCGAAAGAATCAACTTTTCAATTTATTGATAAAATTTTACCCTTTACTTAGTCATCATTTTTCTTTTTAAAATTTATTTATTTAAGATCGAGTCTTGCTCTGTTACCCAGGCTGGAGTGCAGTGGCACAATCTCGGCTCACTGCAGCCTCCACATCCCGGGTTCAAGCGATTCTCCCGCCTCAACCTCCTGAGTAGCTAGGACTACATGCGTGCGCCACCATGCCTGGCTAATGTTTTGTATTTTTAGTATAGATGGGATCTCACTATGTTGGCCAGGCTGGTCGTGAACTCCTGCAATCTCAATCCTGAAACCTCAGGCAATCTGCCTGCCTCGGCCTCCCAAAGTGCAGGGATTGCAGGCATGAGCCACCACAACTGGCCATAATTTTTTTTTCTTATTTTATTCTTTTCTACTTTTATCTTCACTAATTGTTTCCTTCTATTTTCTTTTTTTTTTTTTTTTGATAACTCTTGAGTTGAGGGCTTATTTTTTATCTTCTGTCATTTATACTTTATAAGACATTCACTTAAGTTTAATCTTTTCTAGAATCAGCATAAATCAGATTTATTTTACACAAAAATATGACAGTTCTCCATGCTGCAAAAAATGACAAATCTCTGATTTATGGTTTAACTACTTACCAATAAAACAATAAAGCTAAGTTTGTGTATATAAAAAAATCCATTTTTTGAGTTGACTAATAAGAGTTATGGTTATCAAAGATTGTATATCAATCATATCTCAAAAGAATGCCCTTTACTTCTGAATTTTTGTACTGCTAAAAAACTAGAGATATCTTTATTATCAAATGGAAAATCACAATTTTGTTAGATACAGTTTTTCAAGCAAATTTAAATGGCTATGTAATCTGCTTTTCTATAGGCCATATTCTGCTGAGATAAATAAACCGTAACTATGAAAAACAAAAAACCAAAACAATTCCCTGCATTAGAGACTTTCTCAGAGGTAGGCAATGTTGAAGTAGCACCTTGATTTTTAGTTGGTAGTTTTTGCTATCACCTTCCTACTTCCCGGTTTTATACTTCATTAAATGATTTCCATAGCTTTGTAAATTCTTGTTCTCTGATTTGAACTACTTATTTAGTGTATTTACCTTGGTTTTAATTGCATGGAGGGCATCAAGTACTTTCTGCAGCTTTGGGTTGGCCTCACCAACCTGGAGATTTAAGAAAATAAAGTATGAGATAAAGATTATTGTCAATCAAACACTGCTTAGCTAAGCTTTAATTTTTTTTTTCATTTAGCAACTGACGAGAGGTAAGGTATTTTCTCTTTGCTTTAGAAGGAGAAGTTTTTCAAGCTGTATGTCTTTGAGAGCCTTTGTACTCTATAAATTGTTTATAATATGTACCTACGGATAAAGTAGCAAACAAAAAACTTGATTAAACTTGATTATTGGCAATATGTTCAAAGTTTTACAGGGCAAAATCTAGAAATTTATCAAAACTGACATGAAAACAAATCTCTTATTTTGGTCTGTTACGTTAGTTATCTTTACTACAGTTTTTGGTATATTGTAAGTGCTCAGTAAAGGTTAAGTAGAGATGCTATAATTTCAAGAGTTACTTAGTTATCCAGGCATACCCAATTTAATAATAACTTTTTTGTAGAACGTTTCAGGGATTCTTCTATAGAGTATTTGAGCAACATCTGCCATTTAAAAAAATCAACTGAATGTTCTTTGTAAGAAAAAATTCTCTTTATTTCTTTCCTAATGAGATTTTAAATTGATGAATTTCTGAATCTATGGTTTCAGGTTTCCTTATTAATATTTAATAATATTTCTTTACTGATGAGATATTAAATTAATAAATTTCAGAATCTATGAGGTAGGACATTTAGAGGAAAGGGAATTTGGAAGAGCTGGAAAATAAAAATTCCTTTTTCCCTATGAACACCTTTCTATCTCACCTCCACCTGAAACTTATTTCTCTCAGAGGGAAAAGCAGAGATAGAACCAAGCAATAAAATACTAGGGAACTATTTTTTCACCTGTAGTCATCGGTTGAATGGGAACTTTAAAATAAGAAATTCTAAAATTTATGTTGCCTTATTTCCTTCTATTTTGAGGTGTAATTGGAAGCAGAGCTGTGTTACTACCTGTAACTCACCTTCATCAAAACACCAATAATTGCCAAACCATCAGCCTTTGAGACAGCTTCAGCAAGGCTGGAGTATTTTGCAGAATTCCAGTGAGCTACATGAAGCTAAAAATGATACTCTGGTTAATTAATTATTTATACCAGTATGACGACAAAAGGTAAGTTATAAGTTAACTTGTTACCATATGATGATGTATCTTGGCTTAGATACATAAAACTTACGTGAACCTTTATCCAGTGGATTAGAAGAGTTACCTTCTTACTCTTAGGAAGGGTTATCTGTGTGCCAAGTAGAGATTGCAAAACCTGGAACCAGTAAGCAAAATGTCCTTTCCTACGATATTGTTATTTAATATTACTCCTTTAAATGTATCTCTCTTTGTTATGAAAGGATCAGGAAACATGACTAACTAGTTTTTGGGAAAATAATTGAAGTAATTTTCTCTCACATGAGGTACTTTAAGGTAAATTCATGAGAAAGGATTCCTGGAGTACCTGGGAGTCGGCCAAGAACAGATTCTTTCAGGCACATTAGTGCCCTTTTCAGAAACCTCTCAAATAAATATCTCCAGCTTAATGTCTCTGCAAACTCTAGATTTGTATATCTAAGTATGTATGTATGTATGTATTCTTGATATCTCTACATGGATGTCTAATAGATGTTTCAAACTTAATCTGGCCAAAATAGAACTCTAGATTTCCTTCTTGGCAAACCTGCTTAAATTTACCTTCTTAGGATAAGGTTTTTCAATTGCTCAATCAATAAGTACAACAATTATCATTCATTTCTTACTTTCCCCACCTATCAGCATTCACATCTTACAGATTATACTTCACAACTTTGAGCCTTTGCGTTAGCTTCTAATTTTCTCTGGAATTTCCTTCCCCATGATCTTCAAGTGGCAAACTTTTGTCTTGAGTTAGGGTTGAACTCAAATGCCACTCCTTAAATAATTCTTTTCTGATCATCCAACATAAAGTAACCACCACAAATCAAAACATTTCTATCCATATCACTTATTTAATCTCTCTTCTTCCTATTCTCCTCCCTCCCTCCCTCCCTTCTCTCTTCCCTTCCTTCCTCTGAAATTTTTATTTTCCCTATCAAATACAAGTTCTGATCACAAGTACTTTTTAAAAACAGTATCTCACGCCTGTAATTTCAGCACTTTGGGAGGCCGAGGAGGGCGGATCATGAAGTCAGGAGTTCGAGATCAGCCTGACCAACATGGTGAAACTCCGTTTCTACTAAAAATACAAAATTACCCGGGTGTGCTGGCGCATGCCTGTAATCCCAGCTACTCAGGAGGCCAAGGCAGGAGAATCACTTGAACCTGAGAGAAGGAGGTTGCAGTGAGCCGAGATCGCACCTCTGAACTCCAGCCTGGGTGACAGAGCAAGACTCTTGCTCAAAAATAAATAAATAAATACAAACAAAAAATAAATAAAGAGAGTATCTGGCATATTGTAGGTGTTCAATGAATATTCATTGAATGAAAAAAGAATGATTAAGACAGTATATTCAGAGGGATCACTTACTGCAATTTCCTCTGACCATGCCAGTCTAGATTCTGTCCCTACTTGTAATTAATTATTCTTACATCTGTATTCCTGTGCTTCTTTGTGAATAGTCATGCTGCCATTTACTACTATATTTATTTAATCACAATAATTTATGCCTACACTTCCCTGCTTGAAAAGGGCTTGCTTGTGTCTCTATGGAAATGTTAAGTAACATTATTCAGCACATGCAACATGAAAGGTGCTGGTCTAAGTGTGCTCTGTATGGGTTTACTCTTTTCATGCTGTTAACAATCATTGAGATGGATACTAATGTTATATTATCTAGATTCTCTATATAGGAATATTGGAACGTAGAGTGATTCATTCGAAGTTGTACAGCTAGTAAGTGGTCGAACTTTGATTCAAACCCTGGCAGTCAGCTGGGTACTTGCATTCTTAAGCAACAGGCGGTACTGCCTCTCAAATCTAGTGTCATAGCTATCCCAAGATGGTTTAATAAATTGAACTTAATCACATGCTAAACTTTGTGGCTAAGTGTCTCTCATATCTAGCATGGGTTATATTGATTTTTCTCAATTTAGATGAGAGAGTCACTAATTTAGTTTTCTTGGATACTACCAACTGTCTTTCCAAAATGATACTACTAATTTAGGCTGTTAGTCGATTTAATTTTAATCTATCTTCAATTTTATGGAGGGGAAAATCCAATTAACAGATTCTCGCAGCATTGAAAGGTGTTAGTCATGCTTTACAACACAAGGTAAAGCAAGTTTTATTTGTACACAATCGCCGATATTCTATCAGAATAAAAGATACATATACTTTGTAACTCGGCAATCTTCCCTGTAAAAATCTATCCTACATAATTACTTTCACTAGTGCACAATATATATGTACAGATATATTTACGGAAGCATTTTTCAATAAAAGGAAAATAAACCAATTAAACAAAAATCGTATGTTGTGATTGTTCATCAATAGAAGGCAGTTAAATAAATTATGATGTATTCACCCAAATGAAATACTATGCAGAAAGTAAAAAAGTGAGGTGGAATTCAGTCTTCTGATTTTTAAAAATTATCATGATAAATGGGTAAATAGAAAAAAGCAGGTTGCAAAATTATGTATATTATAGAATTCATTTTGATGAAAGCAAAATTAAAAAGTCAACCTGCATGTATGGGTACACGTATATTATATAATTCACACAGCTAAAGTAAAGAGCAAAATTTCTCCCATTTTAATCTCCCAGACCCACTGTTGACAGTTTGGTGTACATGTCTCCAATTTTTCTTTGGATATACAGATAATAATGTCCTGAAATAAGTCACAAATTCCATGTGAGAGCAGTTTAAGAGCCAAGGAAGCTCAGACCCTCATCTAGGTGTATGCTGCTCTCTATGACCATTGCTATGGTTAAATTCGAGCTGATAGTAGGGTCTTATTGAATTGTCCCAGCTTGGTCACAACCATACTGCTGGTGTGTCCAAACTTGAACATTTAAATAAAGAGGAAATGGTGGTGTGTTCCATTTGGGGTTAGAGCTTTAAAGGAGAGCAGTGTCACCCTTTGAAGCCTATGATATCAAGGTAACAGTTTTTGAGGCATTCTCAGGGAAAGGTGAATCTTGGGCTCAGGAGTTTAGCTGCCTCTTTCCACATGAAAAATTTCCCTCTCTTGCCAAACATTATGTGTCTGTGCTTGATTTTAATGGAACCTGGGAGTTCATTACCAGAATACTGATTCCTTTGGAGTCGTTATGATGTTGTTTTAGGAGAGAAGGGAGAAGCTGCTTCTGGGAGTACTCTCAGGGTAATTATCTCTCACTTACTAAATTACATTACCTCGCTAGAATATTTCACTCCATCCACTGTATGTTCGGAACCATACTCATTTGTACTGCCCCAGTGAAAATGGAACTGAAAGAGCCTATAGCTGTCGGAGAGAGGACCACCTTTCAGCACTGGAAGAAAAGGGAACCGATTGTTAGTCTGATGCTCCGCAAACTCTAGCTTATCTTTGCATTTAATATAAACCAACACTAAATTGTGCTGACTAGAAGTGAAAACAAACATTAGTGCCTAAACTTTCATCTTGTTTTACCCCACATCCATGAGGATGGCAGCCATATGTATGGTACATCCCTGACTGTGGCATTGATGAGATATTCCATGAGTTATATACATTTCCCAGCACACGAGCTATAATTTTACCTATTTCCAACTCCTAGAAGGCATATTGCAAGGTGAGTGAATTATATCATTACAGCGCTGTCCTTGAATCTCCTTTTATTTGCAAGTTTATTCCTTCATTCTTTCAACAAAGACAATATGCCTCAAAAATCTTCAGTAGTTTATTTTGAGTAATGAACCATTCATCACCTACTCTGCAACTGATGAAGACACAACAGTGTATCTTGACAGCTTTGTTGAGAATCCCTGGCCAAGGACCAAGAGAGAGTACCATGGGGCAGTGGGGCACTTTTAAAACTTTGTTTGGAGAGCCTATCCAATGATAATATTAGCTAAATGCACATCATATCAGACCTAATCTAATATTAATAATGGACATAGCCCCAAGGTACTTAAAATTTAGGCCTCAGAAGGTTGCAAACAAGTTTAGCATTTTAAATCAATAGAACTGTTTTATGGAACTGTCATTTAATAAAATATTCAATAAACCTTCATGAAAAGCTAACTCTGTAGCAAAATTTGTTCCAGATTCTGGAGTATAAGGATAATTCAGTCACTGCTTTGTTTTTCTTTTCTACTGTGCTCATTCATCTTCATCCCAATTAGAAAATATTTTTCTTTTCAGTTGTTATAATATTTGTAATGACTGGTTCACTAGACCTTTCTGGATAAATACTGTTTATTCAGAGAGAGTAAAGTGAGCACACAGATACCGGAATGATCAGAAGATACGTGATAGTGACTTTGAGAAGAAAGACTAAAAATACAGAGCTGGGAATTCCAAAAATTATCTTTACCACCTGGGCATTTTCCAGAAGTCCAAGATGCCTCACTAGATTACAGCAATGCTACACACAAGCACAAAAGACTTAGAATGGGTGTCATGTTTCTCGAGTACTATTTTTTAAACTTCCCTAGTAGACTGTAAGAAAAAAAATATCAGCAGGGTCTTTCAGCTCACCTGATCGGTTATCGTTGTCCTCAAAATTTACATGGAAGGAATGTCCCACATTGATAATTTCTTTGGCTGTGGCTGGGTTGTAGGAGACACTAATAGGTTTCAGAGAGGTGTCATGTTTGGTTTCACTGGTTTTAATATCAACAGGGGACTGGTTATTTCCATTGGCAATGGGATATAGCTTGCTCCATTGTTCAGGACCTACAAGGACAAACACACGTGTAAAATCAATACTTTATCAAATGCTTGATTCCAAGTTTTAGGAGTGTAGTTACCTGTTTGCTTATTAGATTAGGGTTTAAGTGTATTAAATGATATTCTGTTAAGATTAATAAAAATTCTGTGTTTGAAAATGTCCCTTTTCTTTCTTTCTTTTTTTTTTTTTTTTTGAGACGGAGTCTCGCTCTGTCGCCCAGGCTGGAGTGCAGTGGCGCAGTCTCGGTTCACTGCAAGCTCCACCTCCCGGGTTCACGCCATTCTCCTGCCTCAGCCTCCCATGTAGCTGGGACTACAGGCGCCCACCACCGCACCCAGCTAATTTTTTTGTATTTTTAGTAGAGATGAGGTTTCACCGTGTTAGCCAGGATGGTCTCGATTTCCTGACCTCGTGATCCGCCCGCCTCAGCCTCCCAAAGTGCTGGGATTACAGGCGTGAGCCACCGCACCCGGCCCGTTTTCTTTCTTTCTTTCCAGGTTTCACCACCGCACTCCAGCTAATTTTTTTGTATTTTTAGTATATAGAGGTTTCACCGTGCTAGCCAGGATGGTCTCTGAATGAATTTGATCTGCCCCGCCTCAGCCTCCCAAAGTGCTGGGATTATATGATTCACCCGCACCCGGCCTCGCTTTTCTTCCTCTGTTCCTTTCTTTCTCTCTTCTCTTCCTCTTCTTCTCTCTCTCTTTCCCCCTTCTTCCCCCTCTTCCCTCTTTCCTATTTTGATATCTGTTTGTCAACGCGCCGCAGTGCAGTGATGTGCTCGCTCACTGCAACCTCAAACCTAAGCTCAAACGACTTCCAAGGCCTACTCTCAAGCGGCTGGATTATATGCATAAAAGCACCAACACCTACAATTATAGCAGAAGGGTTTCATCATGCCGTCCGGTACGGGTCTCGAACTCCGACCCCGCGAGATCCAATCTCGCCCAACTCCCATCATTATGCTAATGCTTCTGACTATTTTTCTATATTATACATAAATAGTGGTTTGACATAATATTGATGAAGAGGATTTGCATTTTCTTTCTTTCTTTCTTTCTTTCTTTCTTTCTTTCTTTCTTTCTTTCTTTCTTTCTTTCTTTCTTTCTCTCTCTCTCTCTCTCTCTCTTTCTTTCTTTCTTTCTCTCTCTCTCTCTCTTTCTCTCTCTCTCTCTCTCTCTCTCTTTCTTTCTTTCTTTTTTTTGACAGAGTCTTGCTCTGTCACCCAAGCTGCAGTGCAGTGATGTGCTCTCGGCTCACTGCAACCTCTGTGTCCCAAGCTCAAACGATTCTCATGCCTCAGCTTCCCAAGTGGCTGGGATTACAGGCATGTGCCACCACACCTGGCCAATTTTTTTTTTTTTTTTTTTTTTTTTTTAGTGGGGTTGGGTTTTTTTTTTTTGTCCAGGCTGGTCTCGAACTCCTGACCTCAAGTGATCCACCCGCCTCGGTCTCCTGTATTTGTCAATACTACTAAAATAGATCTATACTCATAGTTTATAGCATTAATCTATACATATTTTATTATCAGCAATAGATTTCTAATACAAGCATACCTCATTTTATTGCATTTCACTTTATTGTGCTTTGCAGATATTGCATTTTTTACAAACTGAAGATTTGTAGCAATCTTGCATCAAGCAAGCTTATTAGGGGCATATTTTCAACAGCATGTGTTTACTTCACATCTCTGTGTCATATTTTGGTAATTCTCACAATATTTTAAACTTTTTAATTGTTCATATATTTATCATTGTGATCTTTGATGTTACTATTGTAATAGTGTTGTGGCATCATAAACCATGTCCAAGTAAGATGATGAACTTAACCTGTAAATGTTGTGTGTGTTTTAACTACTTTACTGACTGGCTGTTCCCCATCTCTCTCCCTCTCTATAAGTCTTCCTATTCCCTGAGACAACAATATTGAAATTAATATGATTAATAACTCTACAATGACCTGTAAGTATTCCAGTAAGAGGAATAGTCACATGTTTCTCCCTTTAAATCAAAAGCTAGAAATGATTAAGCCCAGTGAGGAAGGCATGTCAAGAGTTGAGACAGGCCAAAAAGTAGACTTCTTGTGCCGGTTAGCCAAATTGTGAATGCAGAAGAAAAGTTCCTGGAGAAAATTAAAGGTGCTACACCAGTGCACACACAAATGATAAGAAAGCAAAGAAGCATTATTTCTGATATGGAGAAAGTTTGAGTAGTCTGGATAGAAGATCAAACCAACAACCACATTCCCTTAAGCCACATCCTAATTAGACAAGGTTACAGCTCTCTTTAATTCTGTGAAGGTTGAGAAAGGCAAAGAAGCTGCAGAAGAAAAGTTAGAAGCTAGTGGAGGTTGGTTCATGAGATATAAAGAAAGATGCCATCTCCATAACATGAAAGTGCGAGGTGAAGTGGCAAGTGCTGATACAGAAGCTGCAGACAGTTATGCAGAAGATCTAGCTAAGATAACTAATGAAGGTGACTACACTAAACAACAGATTTTCAGAGTAGACAAAACAGCCTTCTATTGGAAGAAGATAGCATCTAAGACTTTCATAGCTAGAGAGGAGAAGTCAATGCATAATTTCAAAGTTTTAAAAAACAGCCTGACTCTTTTGTTAGGGTCAAATGCAGTTGTTGACTTTAAGTTGAAGCCAACACTCATTTAGTACTCTGAAAATCCCAGGACCGTTAAGAATTATGCTCACTCTACTCTGCCTGTGCTCTCTAAAAGGAACAATAAAGCCTGAATGACAGCACATCTGTTTACAGCTGGTTTACTGAATATTTTGAAGCCCACTGTTGAGCTCTACTTCTCTGTAAAAGAAGATTCCTTTCAAAATATCACTGCTTATTGACAATGCACGTGGTCACCCAGGAGCTCTGATGGAGATGTACAAGGAGATTGATGTTATGTTCATGCCTACTAACACAGCATCTATTCTGCAGTCTATGGATCAAGGAAAAATTTCAACTTTCAAATCTTATTTAAGAATACATTTTGTAAGCCTGTAGTTCCTATAGATAATAATTTTTTTTATGATGGATCTGAGTAAGGAAATTGAAGTTGTCTAGAAAGGATTCACCATTCTGCATGAACATTCATAATTCAAGGGAGAAGGTCAAGTTATTAACATTAATAGGAGTTTGGAAGAAGTTGATTCCAAAGTCATGGATAACTTTGAACCTTCCCAACCTTCAGCAACCACCACCTGATCAGTCAGCAGTTATCCACATTGAGGCAAGACCCTCCTCCATCAAAAAGATTAATACTTGGCTAGGCATGGTGGCTCACACCTGTAATCCCAGCACTTTGGGAGGCCAAGGAGGGTGGATTATGAAGTCAGGGGATAGAGACCATCCTGGCTAACATGGTGGAACCCCATCTCTACTAAAAATACAAAAAAATTAGCTAGGCGTAGTGGTAGGCGCCTGTAGTCCCAGCTACTCAGGAGGCTGAGGCAGGAGAATCACTTGAACCTGCAAGGCGGAGGTTGTAGTGAGCCTAGATCGTACCATTGCACTCTAGCCTGGGTGACAGAGTGAGACTCTGACTCAAAGAAAAAAAAAAAATTAATACTTCTGAAGGCTCAGATGATCACTAGCATATTTTAGCAATAAAGTATTTTTAATTAAGGTATGTATATTTTTTAGACATAATGCTATTGCACACAATAGACAACAGCATAGTGTAAACATAACTTTTAAATGCCCTGGAAAACTCCAAATTTTATGTGACTTGCTTTCTTGTGATATTTGCTTAATGATAGGGGTCTGAACCTGAACCTGCAGTATCTCTGAGGTATGCCTGTACATATATCAAACATATTTTGTAGTCAGTCATGCCCCAAAAGACAATGCTAAGAATACATGCAAAGATAGTATAATTATTTAAAGCAGCCAGTTCAACAATTAACCTACGGCTGTACTGTTATTTTAAATGCTTAATATCTCTCCTGTTGGAAATGGAAAGAAGCTATCATTTTGATCTATATAAACAGGAGAACTCTTACCATTTTTGTCATCATATCCCCAGTCTGGACTTGCCATTATCTTCTACTGAGTTTTCTTTTTCTGAAAACAAAAATAATACCTGAAATAACTGACTGCAACTGTGCGTGCAGGAGATGCCTTAAATCCCTGCTTGGGCATTTTTATAGAAACTTATTTGCCCTTAATAGGCCATTATTCCATCATCTCTGCTTATCAGGAAGTACACATATCTAAAAAAGGTGTTGTAAAAAATTCTACAAGGGCTGTGTTAGTTTCAATTGTTTTATTTTCTTATATTGTAAAAGAGAATTATCAAATCCTAGATTTTATAAAGCCAAGTCCTGTTTCACTCATGTTAGTAGAAGATACGGCTTAATATTATCATATATAATTCTTTAGATTTTTTAAATGAAAAATACTTTGTACACTTAAGATTTCTAACTCTACCTTTGTTAGTTACTTAAGCAATACAAGCAAAAGTAATTTATCAGGAGAATAATTTGTGTGTTTACAGGCTGATCTTAACTAGTATCATAATGTTAATTTAAAATCAGATAATTAAATTACTAATCATTTGCAATATATGTTATTTATAATGGTACATTTTATAGACGTACAGGGTAAGAATAAAGTTCATTTTGGAGCAATATTGGAATTCATAAATGGAGAAGTTTTTATTAATATTAAAGTTAAATATGGCCCAATATTTATTTGATACATCAAATAGGTCTACTAGAATGAAAGTCTTCTTTTTTAATAGTTCTATATAATTTATAAACCCCTTTCTTATTATTTTATTTCACCATCACACATACATACAAATCCTATATAGTAAGAATTAGCATTTTGTAATTGAGAGATGTTGAGGTACTTTGCCATAACTAGCAACAAGCCAAGAAGCCAAGACTTCAGCCTCCTTATCCAGTTGCCTTCTTCACTTACCTCCACCAAATGCCACAATTAATTCCCCTCCTATGCTCACAATACTCTTAAGTCCTAGTTAAGCCTGGACCAAGATGAAAACTGATGCCCATTGAATGATGAGAAGGTACACAGGACTTTTCAGGAAGGCAAAGAAAACTGATTAGAATGTGCCAGACTCTGACCAGTTCTACATATTCAAAGCTCTAAACATGCTCAAAGAAAAGACAACCAGAAAAATAAGCTTCCATAGTGATGCTTTTTTCATGCCATGATAGTCATTCCTCCTTTCACACTGTAAGGAGCTGCTGCAACCCTTGAAAGAAGAGAGGGATCAGGGTAATTTTCACCAAGGCTGACTGGAGACATGTTGTTTGCTTCTTTGCAGTTAATGATGGTGCATTGTCTTATACGCAGAGTGGGCTGTGGTCATGAACATCCACAGAGTGGGAAGAGACCCAAGCTCCCATTCTATGGCTTCAGTAAGCATAAGAAGATATTGTTTAAAAGGGATTTTTTTTTTTTCAAAGTACTGTTTTTTGAAGGCCCAATAGGGATCAACTGCTGTGCTAAAAACTTTACGTGCATCAACTTATTTAATTCTTATTATAACAAAATTGGGCATTAAAATTTGTGTTTTCTGCTGAGATGGGAGGATCTCTTGAGCCTACGAGTTCCAGACCAGCCTAGGCAACAGAGTGATACCCTGTTTCCGAAAAAAAAAAAAATTGCGTTTTGCATTAAAAAAAATTGAGGCTTACAGAGGTGAAGACACCTCCTCAGGGTTACAAAGCTTGCAAGTGGCTGTTTGTATCCCATAAGCCTAGGGTTTAAACCTAGATCTGTCTAATTCCAAAGCTAATACATTTTCTCAACCTTTCACTGTCAACAATTGTCCACTGACCTCCAGTTGATTCTGTTTTCCGGAGGATTGGATTAGGTGATGTAGCTTGGTTTGGCTCAAGATGACCAAGAGTCAGGCTTCATCCTTGGGCTTACTTCACTCTGGAGGCTCATGGAGTGACGGGAGCAGGCTACCCTTTGCCAGGTAATTTGCCTCCTAATATTGTATACTTTGTAAAAAGTAACTTTAGCTTGAACTGCTCTATTAATCAACAAATTTGAAAAACAGCAACCCCTTTCATTACTTGATTATGTGATGATTTGTTACATGAATGCTTTAACATCCATATGGAATGGTAATTTATTTAAAGTTTTAGGTACAGAATGACACTGGACCCTAACTATTATCACCTTTTATTTTATTATGTACCCAGGGTGTGCTAGTGTACTGCCTCAGGCAGAAAATTATATAGAGAAAGGATATAAAGTTTAACGAGCCTTTATGAGTCCAAACACCCTTCCCATTTACCTTTATCCCTCTTTTTCTGCCTACAAATTTTGCTTCTCCCAGCTGAATCTATGCCAAATTCAAGATGTTTAATTTTGTATTCACTTCACTTTCACCAACAGTCTCCTCCCAGTATACTTTTCCAGGATGATCTTTGGGCTACTTTTGCCTACCAAGAAGGAGTTTAATCTACACAGCCTCTGCTTATCTAAACTAAAAAAAAATATATATATATATACACTTTTAAATTTTATATATATAATTTAAATTTATATGTAATATAATTTAATTATATATTATATAGAATATGTAGTATATAATATAATACAATTTAAATTTATACATATATATTATATATTAGATTACTACATTTATTTATTAACACTAATTAATTTCACCTAAAGATTTTTTAGTACCCAAAATGTGTTTCAAAAAAGCATTTCTTCAGTGTTTTTAAGTATATATTTAAGTCAGTTTTAAATTATATTTAAGAGCCTTAGTATTTCTTATTTTAACTTTTGTTCTTCTACTTCCTTTGATACTTTTCATCTAATTTTTATTTTAATATTTTAAAATTAAAAACATGAACTCTTCTGGAAGCAAATAAATTATGGTGAGTTTCAAATTTAAATTTGTACTTAGAAAATAACTCTCTGGTATAAAAGGAACAAAAAGTGAAAAAAAGTGTCATCCATGCCTAGTTATGGGCGAGATCTGCTAAATGCCACTGAAAGGAAAAATCCACACCTTCGCAGGACCAAATTCCAAAAAGCCATAGCCGTTCTACAATGCTTAGAGTTCCACAACAGTAAGTGGCTTTCCTGGGATTCATATTTTCCCTAAAATGAGGAAATATATATTGTGAAAATAAGTGTCATTGTTGACTATTAAATTAGGCCTGACTCTCACATTGCTTCCTAAGTTCCCTGCCCCTCCAGAAATGGTATCATTTGGGATGGCAAGATAAATCTTATTTCCAGTGGAGAAGTGGGTCATGGAAAATGGTGATATTAGCCTGGACATTTCTGCATTGAGACAACTAGACATTCTGATTAATCAACTGAAGTGGCAGGATGGGTTATCTGGATTTCACAGTTATCATTTTCTCTCAGTTGGGCTTTCTCATCACCACTAACAAAGTTGTGTTAGTAACTTTATTCCTTCCAGTGTTTGTATTTGTCTCCATCCATACCGAGCTTGTTCCCATTTTAGGACCTGTGTGCTTGCTGTCCTACTGTCTGGGTTGCTCTGTACCCAGACCTTTGTACAGCCTCAAATATCTCCTGCTTAGATATGACTTTCCTGAACTCCAAATTCACATGTCCCCCTTTTCCCAGTTACTCCATTATATCATTCTGTCTTATTCTTTCATAGCATTTGTCGCATCTTGAAATTATCTTGCTTGTATTATGAAATTAATTTACTTAATGTCTATAATCATCTCTAAAGTGGCATCTCTATGATATGATAAAACCTTGATCATTTTTTTTCACCACCATGTTCTCTTCACCTATAATATGCCTGGAAAACAGTGGTACTCAATAGACACTTATAGAGAGGATAATTAAATGGTCATTTTAAATTTAAACTGTTGTATATTTTTAAAGATATAGAACAGAATGTTTATCAGGGACTATGCTTACCCAAGTGCACTGATCTGAACTCAGGTTCTGTGGTACATTGATATTTGGGCATGTGAATGAGCTTTGCTATACTCATGTTTGTTTTTGGATTAAGGAAAAAGCCTTTCCCCTCTCAGTTCTATTAATGGGAGGAATGAAGTGGCCCGTCTGTGTCTGTCAGTCATTACTGGGAGAATGAGAACACTGATCTTTGTAAGTGTCAAGTTTTTGACACTTTGTAAGTGTCAAAATCTAACTCTTCAAATATAGTTTGAACTTTTGACATATAAATTTCAAAAATCCGTCACTCTTATGGCTTTTATTACTGTAACTAAAGAAAAGTTTCAACCTTTTATTTCCTGTCTTAGAACATTTTATTTTTAATGCAGTTGTTAACTCTGCTAATGAGTGTTTTTTATTAACAACCAAGTCAACTCTTTATATGTAATCATTTTAATACATGCATAGAGGCATTCACAATGTCTTACAATTTCATGCTTTTGAAAATATTAAGTTTTAAGTATGTCTCATTGACTGTCATGCTTATTGAAATTACTGGCTAGAAAGACACACACATTCAGAGAATGTCTTGTGAACTTTTATGCTAATAATTAGGAATCTCTTCTATTGCATGAAGGATAACTTGGGCAGGCTAATAGTACTATCCCCAAATTTGTTTTTAAAATTGAAAATATACTATTGTATCTTATCTTCTATAACTGTTTGGGAAACAAATGAGTCTTTATAGAACAGATGATGACACTATTAAGTAACATTTTCCACCTAAAAAGAAAATAACATGCATTAATGATTTATAAATCATAAACTTCTGCCAGATGTGGTGGCTCATGCCTGTAATCCCAGCACCTTTGGGAAGCTGAAGCAGGTGGATCACCTGAGGTCAGGAGTTTGAGACCAGCCTGGTCAACATGATGAAACCCTGTCTCTACTGAAAATACAAAAAATTAGCCAGGCATAGTGGTGGGCACCTGTAATCCCAGCTACCTGGGAGGCTGAGGTAGGAGAATCGCTTGAACCTAGGAGCCAGAGGTTGCAGTGAGCCAAGACCGTGCCACTGCACTCCAGCCTGGGCAACAAGAGTGAAACTCCATCTCTAAATAAATAAATAAGAAAATTCTGCACTAATATAAATGATCAACATAAGCCTCAAAAAAAAAAAAAAAAGGGTTTGATTTTAACTCTCAGGCAAATAGATGATGATATAAAACAAAATAGTTCAAATATTGCATGTGGCCTGAAATTCAAACACTTGCTTCATAGATACCTGTTTGCTGTATGTTAGACTAAATCCTACATGTAAATATGAAAAAAGATAAGTTCTCAAGTGTAAATATTAAGTGAGGTGAAGGTCAGTTCTATTAGTTACCTTGTTGTAACATCCTTCATGCATCTGTTTGGGGGTTCTAGCTACCTAAAATCTTTTTAAGATTTAAAAAAAATGTCTTCTTACTCCTGAAATCAGCTTTGTTAGCTCTCAAATCCTTTTATCAAAGACTAGATTTCTAAAATACATGTGTAATGACATGTCTTTTCTTAATCCAGTGGGTTCCCAATGTGTGGTTTGTAAATCACCTGCTTTGAAGTCACCTGAAGTGATATTAAAATACAATGTGTGTGTCTCAACCAATCCTTTATTTTTGTGAATGGCCTTGGCCAGTTTAGATGATCAACAAATAAGCTCTTTTAGTAAGTATTGGTAGCTTTGTTAGTGGTATCTGGGAGTTAGATGACTCCACACTCACAATCTAATTACCAAGAGGTATATTTCAGTGAAAGCAAGTCTTCAACAATCAAATTTCCCAAGTGTACATGTGTTATAAGCAAACAGCCAGAAAATAGTCATATGACTTGCCTGTTGTTTCAGGTGGGCTGGCTGCACGTGAGGCTCACCAACGAGCACCTTGCACGAAAAGCTCACTTCAAACAGACGTCAGTGACATCAAGACCTCTTTTGGGTCAGGGAGCTGGGTTCAGTGGGGCTTAGACCTCACATACTCCATCAGTGTCATTTGAGTGCTGGGCTTCTCCACTCCTATGTTCATACAAGACATTTTCTGGGTCCATAAAATTTTTCCTTCTCAGTTACTTCTCAGGTACTCTTGATACCACTAATTGTATAAAATTCTTTCTAACATTTTTTATAGTAAATAACACAACTTCAGGTGTTGATTTCAGTACAAATAACTAAGTAGCCACCTCTGAAGAGGGCAGGTCCTGATTAGGACACTATCAAGCATTCCTATTAGGCATTAGATTATATGAACAAAAGTTATTTATACTGAAGTGATGTATAATTATAACACTACTGAATCAAAATCTCTGCATGCAAGACCTGGGAATGTATGTTTTTAACAAACATTTCCAGGTAATATTTTAAAAACATATTTGTAGACTTTTACAAACATTTTAAAAAATCCTAAATGCTGTTTTCTTGACTTACTTTCTCCTTTAGGAAGAATACTGAATTAATATTCACTTCAACAGCCACTTCAAAAACTACTCTCTGTTTTTCCAAATGAGATTTCTCCCCATAAAATTTCTTGAATTTTTAATGCTTTTACTAGTACCTAACTCCAGTGAAGAAATTTTTTTTCATTTATTTTTTGTGATGCCCTTTTACCTATTGAGTCGGTATGCTAAATACAGGGTGGTGACTTGCTCTGCAGTAGTTTTTAAATCAAATGCTCAAGTCAGAGCCATGATTAAGTGAAGACAGGTACAATAACTAAATGCGTTCTAGTACTGGAAATATCAATTGTTGCATGCAGGAGATTGTCATTTTAATTTACTTTTATCTGATCTTTGTCTTAGTAGATCTATCAAAGAAAAGTGGCAAGAGCACTATTTGAACTAAGGATTTGCAGAACGACTCATTACTCAAGGGCAGAGTTCACAGAAAACGTACATTACAGAGGTCTTCTTTACTGATCTTAAAAGAGTAAACAAAGACATACAATGAGGATGATGTAATATCTACAATGCTCCTTTAGTCTCTAGACTGTTTTTTGCTTCACAGTTATTTTTAAGAATTAGTATTAACTGTAAATTTTTTTATCTGTCTAACCCAATTTCTTTGAGTAATGCTATTTCTTTATGATAAACCTGGGTTAATAAGTATAAAATACCTAAAAATATTTTCTAAATGAGGATTAGCGATTAATGCACATAGCAGATGCACAGTAAAAGATGGTTTTTACTTTTTACTGAGTGTACTACTACTAATAGAAAACTGTGGGCTATGGTTGAAACTGAAATGCAGCCAGGTGTTAAGGAGGACACAAGGCTATGTCTGAGCTTCCAAGGATTTGATGATGCACATTAGCTGATCAGCCTTGAAATCAAGGGACATAATCCGACCCCCTCATCCTGGAGTTTTTCTAATAAATGGGGAAGGAATAAATGGAACGATTACAAGTGCTTTCTGATTTTTAAAAAATCTTTTTATTTTTAGCTTCTACATGAAGGACACAACAGGTGCTTTTAAAGAAAGAAATAGATATAGTTTCTTTTTAGAGTAACCCAATAGAATGAGACCATTTTACTCCGATATTTTCTTTACTCACATGATCTTAATGTATAACTTTTAAGAAGTTCGGAGGCTGAGAAAAACAAATATCAGTATTTCCATTTCAAAAGGAAGAAAGAGGCTTTTACAGATGAGAAAGTTAAGCCACTTGTCCAAAGTCAGATGAAAGTGTTAAAAGTGGAATGTCAAGTCTTTAAACTCTGGGTCAAGAATTCTTCCCACCATGGTGAATTATAAAATCAAACTAACAATAACTTTTTCATTACTTTTTACTTTATTATCACAAAAGAGTTTAGTCATATGGGAAACTATTACCTCATAACATCATTGTAGTTTCCCTAAAACAGACCCTATAACTTTGGCTTGATTTTGTCCATGGGCATTGATGATGGGGTATAGACCATCATTATCTTCGGAGAGAATGCATGCTGCATGCTGTGGTTTTTGCATCTCCACAGCCAGCCTGCCCAGCCCACGAAGCTATCACATGCATCCCTACTGAGGCTCTTCAGGGCCTACCATTCCCACATTTGTGTGGAGAGACCAAGCTACTCGTGATCTATGCTTGCTGATTCCAGTGTAGCTGGTAATGCATATTCTACATTTCCACAAAAATCTACTTTATTTCTTCCAGTCCTAGGTGTAAAGGATCAGCCCACAGGATGGAACAAAATAGATCCTCCTCCCTTCTATTTCTAGAATAGGAAGGAGAAAAAAGCAAAATTATTTATTAGGATCTTCACAGCAAAATTTCAGAAAAGAATCCTGTCCTCTTAGCTAAAGGCAAAATAGCAAGGTTTGAATGAAAGTCCTTCCTGATCCTATTTCCTTTATGCCAAAGATTACTTGGGCAATTAATTTAGCTGGTCAAAGTCATGTCTTATTCTGAATTTCCTGTTTTACTTTCTTTTTTTTTCAAGTTGCTCCAGGAAAATAAGAGTTACCTAAACATATTAAATAAGTAGATTCCTAAGATGGGCTTAGCTCTAAGTAAGTGAAGAATTTTCAGGCCTCTTAAAGATCTTTGATACCATGTAACTCTGTCCTCAGTGACTCCCATAGAAAGAGTGCAAGGCAGCTTCTCCTGTGGTTTCTTAGGGCTCTTTTAGCTTCTAGAATCAGAAAACTCTGGAGAGACTGCTTAGGCAACAGTTTTCAAGTGTGACTTGAAAAGCTCTGCGTTTCAAAATTCCAGGGTTATGAGTGAAAAGGTGTTGAATGAAAGGCTCTTAATTGCATCCCCTTGCACCTAGTTTATCTGGCCCTGTGATGGAGTTCCTTAATATGCACCACCTGGACACTGCAGTCGTCCTAATTCCTTTAAGACTGTCCCGGACTCTGCCTTTAACTAGTTGGTAAAGTTCCACATAGCCTTTGTGCAACTGCCTGAGGGTTGCAAAATGAGGGGATGACATGTTGGCAAGTGCCTCAGTTTTCCATCATCACCCAGGAGGCAGCCAGAACCGGTCTGGTGAGAAAGAACTCCAGGAAAAACACCTCCCCAGGTTTGTGTCAATAACGCTTTTAAAATGGAGATCCGGGGAGTCCAAAGGCGTTCTTATGGGCCTCATAGACTAAGAACCAAGCTCAGTCAGAATGAAGCTTATTAATGTGGACTTCTTAGAATAAATAGGGCTGATTTTACGCAGTGATTCGATCTGGGGAAGATGAGTTCTTGGCAATGCTCTCAATTCCTCCTGTTGGTAATTCCTAGGGGTGCTTGCTAGCCAGGGTTCACGTTCGATGTTCTTACAATGCAATCTTTTGTCGCTCCTATCTCAGGCTCCAAGAGTCCTCATACAGTCCTCTGCAGAGCTGGACAGGATTTTACTGCGTGGTTGCTTGCAGCTGGCAACAGCTGTCGCTACACTTTTTTATCCACATTTATTTTTGTGTGTTAAGATTGTGTTTCTAGTCCTCCCCCAACTTCTGATACTACATAAACAGTGCCAAATCGTTTGCTGGCGAACATGATATTATTAGTAAAGGCCAGTGGCTTCTTCCAAGGGAGCATTGACTGTTTACGTCGTGGCTTTATGTAGCCACTTCTGGGTATGGCACTCACTGTGCCATTTATTTTGGTTAATGTTTTTCAAAGACTCATTTTGACTTTAAAATCAGAGGCGGCAAATGAAACTTTGTTTAAGGATTCATGTCCCTAAAATGTAATGTTGGAGTGGTAAGGAAAAAATCATCTTTTAGCAGCAGCTAGGTATAAGGTATAATGAAGTTTGCGGAAAAGAAAAATAGGGTTTATTTTATTAGATCCAACATTGAAAACACTGCCCTAGCGTGATGGACATGCCTTCTGTATGAGATGAGTATGACATCCACTCAAAAAACAGCCCAGTGGGGAGAGAAATGCCAGCAATAATAGATGTGACCTTTTAGTGCCTTGGCTATTGGCATTGCCTGAGGGTAATCCTAGATCACCCATTTTTCCATTTGGATGTAGCTGAGACTGACAGGGCAGGTGTCCTGCCTAAAGCAACTGATTTACTGATTTACGAGCAGCTTTCAGTCTCCTTCCTACTTGCCTCTTCCAAAGTGAACTTGAAAATCCAGTTCTTTTCACTACCTCTGCAGAAAACCTAGAGGCAAGCACAGGATTTATTCTTTGTTACTTGTAAGGCTGCTGTTGGAGTCATGCAAAGGTCGATGATTAAATGACATACCATAAAGATTGTTAGTATTGTTATTAAACCCAGTAGGACAGTAGGATTAAAATGCAGCTACTGACGAAAGACTTGAACTGCAGTGTCTAGATGAAGCTAATTTGAACACAACTTAATCCCCTCATCATAATATGAACAAGGAACAAAACAAATGGTACCATGGCAGCTGGACACTGTCTCAGGCACCACAACTTCTGGTTGTTGAAATTAGCTATGGGTTGATTTTGTAACTCACAGTTACATATTACCATTAATGTCACCAACCTGTCTCGTTAAACACCAGGTCTGCACCCAAATCATTCAACCTAACCTCATGGGGTGGATGAAGAAAGTGTGTTTTGAACTCAATGACCCATGGCTTCTTAGGGTATAAAATATGGGCTAGACAGCACTGAGTGTGGGAGGGGAGAGAATCACATTTGGCCTCGCTACATGTTACAAGCGGTGCTTGCAGAATCCTGGCTCCCTCTCTCTACATCCTCAGCAGGAAAAGTGCTTAAAACCATTTGAGGGGGCATAGCTTAGTTACATCCTGAATAGACATGTGTGAACCTGTCTTTTCTGGAAGCTAGATTTAGGTTAGCTTGAATGTCCAACCAATACCTGTATGCCTGCTTTCCATTCTGTCCTGTGCCATCTGGAGCAACTCAGCTCTCTGGACCTTAGCCCCAGTTTTCCAGTTTGGACTGTGACCTTGCCTTTGACCTGTGGTTGGTCTTATATCATAGCCACTGACTGCTGCCCGTGTCAGGATGCATGCCCCTGCTCTGCCCATCGCCTTCCTGCCAGCTTAGCCCCCAGCTCCATTTTTTTTTTGAGACATCGTCTCAC